ACTCACCTCAATTCTTCTCACTTAGGGCTTGCAATCCTTACTTTTAAAATGGATCTAAACAGGAAGGAAATCAAGGCAAACAGGGTGTTGGTGATTATCTTCCAGTAACTATAGGCGCATCTTTACTCATGTCCACGATAGATATTTGCGAATGTCATCAATTCATTGCTATTGCTCGTAGTAAAGACGAAAATGTCAAACTTGACAATTACAATTGAAGCGATTATACTGACTACATGGCTTTTGCATTTCTTCTTAAATACAGTAACAATATCTATTAATACTCTATTTGGGCGGTGGTTGCTTCTTGAATTGATTTTTATGCCTGGCTAGATTCAACTAATTTGCTTTTATGCTAGTACACGAATTTCATTGTACTCACTAGCATATTTTAGGCTTTATTTAAAGTGCCTGCGAATCAAAGAAGTGATGAGATCATCAAGAGCTTGTTATCTAGATTGGTATAATAAACCTTGACAATACCTATCCTAGTTTGAATCATTTCGTTAAGTAATTAGAGTGATGACGTAGATTCTATGTATAGAATTTTGTTTTCTTAGTAGTATTTCCATGACTCATTGGAATCCGGTTATTCATAGTTGCAGGTATTCCACTAGAAGGAGTAATATACTGTTGGGGCAAATTGAGTAGTTAACAATGACTGACAGATTACAGCAATTACGGCGATAGATTTGTAGTAGTTAATGTAAATTAATAGTAGAATGATTCAATAACTTATGATAGTGATCTTGATTTCGTATATGTATTTTATTACGATTGATGCAGTTTAAATTATAACTTCTAGCGAAGATAAGTTACCCGGTAATAATCGTTTTAATAAGAATGAAAGGCTAATTTTAGTTATTTATAACACCACCATTGATGAAACTGCAACATAGTAGCTAGTAATAAGTCCTAAACAATGGAATTCTTGGTCAGATATTAAAATGTTAAATGATGAAGACGCCATATTTAAAAATCTTACCATATGGTGCCAGTATATTAAAGCAATGGAGTTGTAAAAGTTTTAATATAGAGACCTATTTATGTCGGTCGATGTACACTTGTACAGTGTAGTTATTGTAAAGGTTCTCAAATCAAAAGGTAGTCCATTTTGCACTACAGAACAGTAATGAAGTGCTCTATCATAATGAATACAGAACACTGTAGTACGCACTGCTTCCTTATGTATTAGCTCCATTTAAATGGTATAAAGATTATAACGATAAAGATAATTAGATTCGACTTATTTTTTGTTGGGCTGGCATTTCTTACCGGAAGGATATATGCCGTTTGCTTATTCTGATATAGCTTAAAGCAAGAGTTCAGAGTATTTTTTACAAGCAGCATCATGCATTGCGACTGTTAGCATACGTATTGAATATATAATAGCTGTAGCTTATAAGAGCTAACGGCATAACAATCAATAACAAAATATTGTTCTTCTTTTGAATAAAAATATTTACCAAACATACGAGCGAGCCCTATAATACTGCTCTACAACATCTTAATCTTATTATTATTTTTATCCAATTTATTCTGTAGCCGTACATCAGCTTGATCAGGAGTTGATTGATTTAAAAGGGTAGCTTCAATTTGCTGCTGGCAATATCAAAGTTAAGCGTCCAACGCATAGGTACTAGTTATAGCTCATGGTGGTTTAAGAAGAAATCTTTGATGTACCTTTATTATATGCGTGACGTATACAGTACAGTAGATGAATAGCTCTAGAAAGCCATTCCGTGGTCAGATTTGAGAGCAATAGATACTGTAAATATTTGTTTTCTTGCAGCCAGTTTAGAAATTTACCGAAAGGTCTACATCGATTTAATAGCTCATCTTGATGTAAACACTGTTCGTGATAATTAAAATCAATCAATTGAGTCAACATTATTACTTTCCCTTACGATAGAAAACCATTCTCAATATCGTTAGTGGTAATTTAGACCTAGCATACTGCTACTCTCTTGTTTCGTGAATTAAGATCAACCAGTCAAGTCAACATGATGACACACCCTTACGATAGAAACCATTCTCAATATCGTTAGTGGTAATTTAAACCTAGCATTACTGCTGCTCTCTTGCTTCGCGAAATTAAAATCAATCAATTACATCAAAATTATGACACTCCCTTACGAACCATTCTCAATATCGCTAGTGGTGATTTAGACCTTGCATTATTGATACTCTCTTGCTTGGTGAAATTAAAATCAGCCAGTTAAGTCAAGATTATGACACTCCCTTACGATAGAAAATCATTTTCAATATCGTTCGTGGTCATTCAGACCTAGATAGAAAACCATCCTCAATATCGTTCGTGGTAATTTAGACCTAGCATTACTGCTACTCTCTTGCTTGGTGAAATTAAAATCAACCAGTTAAGTCAACATTATGACACTCCCTTACGATAGAAAAGCATTCTCAATATCGTTAGTGGTGATTATTACTGCTACTCTCTTGCTTGCTGAAATTAAAATCAACCAGTCAAGTCAACATTATGACACTCCCTTACGATAGAAAAGTATTCTCAATCTCGTTAGTGGTGATTATCGCTGCTACTCTCTTGCTTGGTGAAATTAAAATCAACCAGTTAAGTCAACATTATGACACTCCCTTACGATAGAAAAGTATTCTCAATATCGTTAGTGGTGATTATCGCTGCTACTCTCTTGCTTGCTGAAATTAAAATCAACCAGTCAAGTCAACATTATGACACTCCCTTACGATAGAAAAGTATTCTCAATCTCGTTAGTGGTGATTATCGCTGCTACTCTCTTGCTTCGTGAAATTAAAATCAACCAGTCAAGTCAACATTATGACACTCCCTTACGATAGAAAAGTATTCTCAATCTCGTTAGTGGTGATTATCGCTGCTACTCTCTTGCTTCGTGAAATTAAAATCAACCAGTCAAGTCAACATTATGACACTCCCTTACGATAGAAAAGTATTCTCAATCTCGTTAGTGGTGATTATCGCTGCTACTCTCTTGCTTCGTGAAATTAAAATCAACCAGTCAAGTCAACATTATGACACTCCCTTACGATAGAAAAGTATTCTCAATCTCGTTAGTGGTGATTATCGCTGCTACTCTCTTGCTTGGTGAAATTAAAATCAACCAGTTAAGTCAACATTATGACACTCCCTTACGATAGAAAAGTATTCTCAACATCGTTAGTGGTGATTATCGCTGCTACTCTCTTGCTTGGTGAAATTAAAATCAACCAGTCAAGTCAACATTATGACACTCCCTTACGATAGAAAAGTATTCTCAATCTCGTTAGTGGTGATTATCGCTGCTACTCTCTTGCTTGGTGAAATTAAAATCAACCAGTCAAGTCAACATTATGACACTCCCTTACGATAGAAAAGTATTCTCAATCTCGTTAGTGGTGATTATCGCTGCTACTCTCTTGCTTGGTGAAATTAAAATCAACCAGTCAAGTCAACATTATGACACTCCCTTACGATAGAAAAGCATTCTCAATCTCGTTAGTGGTGATTATCGCTGCTACTCTCTTGCTAGGTGAAATTAAAATCAACCAGTCAAGTCAACATTATGACACTCCCTTACGATAGAAAAGTATTCTCAACATCGTTAGTGGTGATTATCGCTGCTACTCTCTTGCTTCGTGAAATTAGGATATGATTGCTGAGTTAGGTAGGCGGTAGCCATTAGGCACTTGTTTCCATGGTAACGCTGTACGGTCTAAGCCACTGTAGCTCATGTTTGGGTAACGATCGATACTGCACAGAATTCCTGGGCTATTTCCGAAGAGTACATACGTAAGAGAAAACCACTGCTTTAATGGTGTCTGTAGCCTATTGCTGTAGATCACGTTTGGGTATCTAAATTATCCCTGTCAGACAGCCGAGGTAGAGTGTTAGTGACGGTACTACTGGTACCTATGTCGGTCTTCGGTCGACAGGGTAGATACTGAAACGTGACTTATGGCACTAATATATTGTATTAACGACACAGCCATACAACCGCTGATTGGTAGTCTGCCGATTTGCTGCAAGTTAATCGTTGCAGCTCTCCATGTTGAATGCAGGCTGATTTGTTCATGAAGGATAACTTTTACTCCTTTAAAGCCAGTAATATAATTTCATCCATATGAAGAGCTCGAATATCGTTGTTGGTAAGCTCAAAATTACTTTGTAAGGAAATCAAATGATGTTTCATGTTACTGTCAGTCCTAAAGATCGAGTGAATATCCATCAAATAAATCGTTTGTCTGTCCATGGACGACCTATTGCGTTGTTGCATGCATTCTCACAAGAATTCCTATTAAGAAGTCAGCTAGATTAAATACATACTGAAGTCTTATGTGATACTATGAATAGGGTGGATTGCGTTGTAGAGATGATACCTTTACACCTCTTTCATTAGTGATAGAAAGACAGTATAAAAATAGCTCTTGTACTGGAGTGCACCTTTTTTTTAGCTGCAGCAATGCATCGTATTCATCCAGCTGCAATAAAATTGGGTCAGGAGGCAATTTGGAAGGAGCGGACTTCAAACAGGTGTAGTAGGAGTACAAAAGTGAGAACTTTTACGTTAGTAGTAAGAAATTTCGATGCTATTCTCGGTCAAGTTTGAGTTAGCATAGATTAGCGATCTGAAAAGGGATTGCCGTGAGGATTCATGCACTAAATGAGCTGAAATACTCGGAGAACATAGCTGCCATTTACAATTATTCATGACTAACCCTAAGGAATGCATTGACACATACAGTACTATAGGCTATCGTCAAGAGCATTACATTTTAGAGATGTTAAATACTGTTCAGATTGCTAATCCTATTCTATTTTCGTCGTCCTTCTGTCCTAAAAAACTTGAAATTTTATTTATCGTGCATCCACGTGTATGACATTGGAGATACCATCAAATGGCGTCTGCTTCCCAAGCTAGTATTATCTGGATTAACTTGTAAGCCCTACAATAACATCATCTGTCTAATTTTGTTCAGAATAGGAATGATACACCATTAAAAAAATCATGGCTGGTACCACGGAGGTTATGGATCTTATTCAAGTAAAGCTACAACAATTTCTTAGGTAATGATATGTTAGTCTAAACAAGGTAAAACTAGAACAGTAAGTGACTATGTCCTACAAAAGGAAATTTTTTATATTTTTGAAAATGATTTCTGCAATTCAGAAGAGCGTAATGTACTACTGTACTTCACCACATTCTGACATTATCAAGTATGATGGAAGTTGCCGCTGCAATTTTGCTCGCGTAGCTTGATCACATAATATTGAGATATTTACGTTCAAGTGTTTTAATTTAGCACCTACAATTGTAGCTTCCTTACAAGGAGTAAATAGTTAAGGATGAATCTAACATAACTTAAGCTATAGCGTAATCATTAATTATACTAGTGCACATTGAGTTGAAATAGTAATCTCCATTGAAATCGACTTTTGCCCAATTGCTAAAGTTGTGATATTATTTCATATATACTGTGCTCATTAATTACTAAAATAGTAGTGCAAAAGTAAAAAATCTGTAATAGCTTTTGCTCATATCTTGCCATCAGCAGTGAAAATTTCTTTGCAGTGTATGTCTAGTAGTTATAATATCCAATTGCTATCTAGATTCCCAGAGCTAAAATCCGAAATATTAGATGCCATGCACAATTTGGATTGTAAAAATCTCACGACATTAATATATGAACATGTTGTTATCAGTGAAAATAGTATCCGACAGAAATTAGCAATTCTAGATGAATTACTGCGATCGTTAGAAAGCAGCTCAACTGAATTACAGGAAGATGATATCCCAAATAGCGTGCTGCAGTTATCTTGCAGTGTATATTTACAAGAACAGGGTAACTTAAAGCAATGCAGGCGATTAGAGAAGGTAGTCAAGCTACAGATTATCCTTTACAAGTATATATACATTAGCTCTTAGCTAATGCTTATACAATATTTAATTAGTAAAATTTTTAATCTCATTAATGCCTCCTTTTATGCAGCTGCTTTATAAATTATCAAGCATTAATCAGGCCAAATTCAGTGCGATATTCTCGAATGAAATTAATGAATTACTACGTAAAGATTTGGTCAGTACTGGATAAGCACGACTGCATGTGTAAATAGCTATATTCGTATATACATATGTGATATAAATTACGATTTTCTGTTTATATTTGGTAGGACCATTTGCCTAATCGTCTCAGGACCGGTAGGTTGATCTCCTGATAGGATTTATGTCATCAATCTTTCTATGTGCAATACTGGATACTTTACTACAGTAAAAAAGATTGTTGTCATCTTATGCAATTCTGACTGTTATTATGCGTCATATAATTCGCTTTGTATCATAGTTGTTTACTTGGCTGAAGGTTCTAAACTAACCCGTGAAACGTTCGCATTATCCATTGATTCCTTGATCACATACGTAGCCTATGCCTGCAACGAGATCATCCTAAAAGTAAGTTTAACAGTTGTAAACTGAAGTGCAGAATTTAGTGATAAATGATACAATACAAGAGTGTTATCTGCATGGACTTCCGTTATTGAAACTAATATTTGAATGTAAGAAATAAGTTTTAATCAAAGTAGTTTAAATAAATGACGAACTGTATTTAATATGGTATCTATCTTGATGCTGTCATTTTATTATGTGTATTACCAAAGGCTTCTAGACGGCCCAAAGTAATATTATCTTTAATTATTTCTATTGCAATTTATTCTTTAATAAAGAGTAAAAATTTAACCCTACTCTCATCCATAGGCTAAGGAAATTCAGCCCGAGAACATCACTATGACTGCTAAGGTTGATAAAATGTTATGAAATTATACCAAGATTTTAGAGTGTTGACTCTTTTATCCACGTTCGAATCGTTGCTAAGTGTAATGCTGGTTTCATCTTTTAGCTAACTTTACAATTATTCCAACATTTTCCTGAAGTATGTATGAGGGCTGTGTGGGGGACTGAAAATAAAGGTAATTAAACGCCGAATCGTCTTTTAATGTTATTGATTACATTTCATCGATATCTAGTTTATAGTTAGTATCGCACTGATAGCATCTTCTCTTCCATGTATAGGCGACTTACATTCAAAGTTTGAACTTATGATCAAATCTGTATTAAAAATTATTTTTCAATGTGTAAGTTTAATTTACAGCATCACCTGATTGTATGAAGCGGAATGCTTATTTGTCATCATTATTTTTATAAAAACGCGACGCTATCATTGCAGGCAGATGCTATTGATACATTATTGATGGCAAGTACAGCATTGGGGATGTTGATCAATATATCACAAGATCTAAAACTCGGATGTAATACAGTTACAAATTTACTTATTTTATCAGGTATAAAAATCTACCATATACGTATATCATCTCTTCAAAGTGATGCGTTCTCGTTTTAATTGATATTGCAAGGTCTTCTATCTTGTAATAAATCATCTGTTTACTCCTAGGTGCAATTGATGAACCCAAAGAACGGCAGGTAGAATCTTTTACTGCGTAGGGAAATTGAAATTCTATTGGATTGTGTTTAGTTTTCTACATAGCATTATACGTTTATAAATTTTTATTTTTTAATGGTTTACTTCATAACTGTTCATAATTTCTCAGAACATCACTGTCTATGGTTTAAAAGTTGGAAACATCTTTGTTGATACCTCATTTTTAAAGTGTATCAGCGAATCAGCTACAAATTTTACGACTCTACTTTTAATAAGAGGCTTACTGAATTCTGGAAATATTAAGCTGCTTGCTGTGTCAACTACTATGATAAAGAAAACAAAACCGGAGGTAGATCGTCAAAATGTATATTTTGGTTGCGTTCTTTATTTAAGCCAATTTTACCTATGTAAGGTTATTAATGACCAAGTTTAGTGACTTTAAGTTTTGTTTTATTTATTTAGGATTCTCAGTTAGGTCGTGTTCTACTATTAATCTTATTACGTTTGTGTAAAGATCTAAGCAATTCAAACTTTCACTATCAGGCTGTCCAGAGTAAGTATAGCGATCATATTTTGGTCTTAGGCACAATTTTAATTTGTGCTACCATGCTATGTTGCGTCTCGACTACTTTGTATGTGTAAAGGCAACTGATATTATGAATCCTTTCAAATTAGTGATGGCATCTTAGTTGTTTGTAATGGCATGTAATTGATATTCTGGTAATGCCAAAGCTATCTCTTATGTTATTCTCATTATCCAGCTTTTGCCCAGTGGTTACAAAATACAAAAGAAATGTTACTAGAAGTGAAGATGGACGATCATTTACCTTTATTTGTATCTCATAGTCCTGTAACTGATGAAATCTTGAAATTTATCTGGGAGTCTATTAATGATCCTGTAAGAAATGGCAATGAATAAAAATATCTAATTTGTGTTTATAACTATTATTAACAGTTTTAAAATCTTCAAGCAGTGGGCTTCTGGAGTACGTATTTTAATTTCTATATTATTCTCGCCAAACCTCAGATTGATGGTGTGTCATATCACGTTAAGAACATTTTCAGCTTACTATTATTGGTGCACTCTTTAGAATGTAAATTAAGACAAATACCTGAAAACGACGAGGTAAATTATTTAGTAAGTTGCCTTTGCTATCATCAACTTTATCAGTACATGATTATGATCCAAAAATGCATTATTCTTATTTCCTAATCAAGTTTGTCCGAGAACTAATTAATAAGACGCTAATGATATCATGGCAGTCAAAAGGCAGATATGCTCTTTTGCACTGTATCATCAAACAAGCTGGGCCTAAAGTAGTAAGTTTATTAGATGCTCATGGAGTTGTTTTGGTATTATGCAAATAAAATATATAAAGTTATTGGCGCGTATGATTCATTTCTGTCTAGGTATTAAACATTGATAAAACTTTACCTTTCGCGCTGTCTCGGTGTTTAAGTATCAATTCCTTGGCTTCAATTTCATGCGATATTTACAAAACTTTCTTGAACGATTTACAGTAAGAGTATTGCTTATTCGTAGCAATTCAAAGTGAACTATCCATTATGCCGTAGTTCTTACTGTTTTAATCCTGCTAAATTCTATTATAGGGTAGGTTTACTGATTAATCCTAAACAATATGCAAGATTAAATGAATATTACAGATACCAGCATAGCCAAGCTTTAAAGATATTGGTTTTTGGTTTTTTACTTGAAATAAATTTGTGAATTATGGATTTGCTAAGTTGACTTGGTGAATCAAAAAATCTGTTATCAATATCAATATTGTTCTGATTTAATTATGTATGGAAGGAACAATTAGAATGCCCATATGAATTTTGATATGATTCGATCTTAAAAATCTAGGTTATGCATTTTATTCGCATTAATCAGTTTATATCTCGTTTTGCGTATGCTAAATGCCATATTAAGAGTGAAGACATCATAAGCAGTTGGGCGACGGCGTGGATAGATCCAATTATAAATGGATTATTTGACGATGAAGATGCGTAAGTGAATAAATTCCAGCTTTAGGAAGTAGTACTAAAAATGATTAGCTAACTTTAGATATATCGACATTAGGTTGCTTCGACACAACATGCGAATTTACTGGTTACCGGCAACTTTGTCTATAATCTCCAATTCCTTGCATCAATTGTTAGACGCCAGTGAATTAAGATTTAATAATATGAACTCGAAATGCCCCTCCGCTAGAGCTACACTTCGACATATACATGCAAAAGTAATGATCTACAATGCCGCCAAAGCATTGGATATTATTCATGTAACTGAATTGGTAAGACTTTTTTATATTACTTTATTCTGAGGAATTAATAATGGTAGCCTACGTCATGCTATTTTATATGGTTTGCTACTTATGCTGATTGAGTAGATTAGCTCATGGAATATACATACTGTCTGATAGCAAGACCACATAAGAAATGTTCTTTGTAACGCCTTTTATAGCCTGAAGAATTATTGGATTCCTCTTTGCAATGCTGGGATGATGATATTCGTATGGATGCAATATCGCTGCTGTGTTTTAGCCAAAAGCGCGCTGGTAAAAAAATCTTACATTAACGCTGATGAAATGATTTGTTTATGCTAGTCCAGTATGGTGGCTTTGCTTTGTTGATTATGACATTATCTTTTTTACTTATGTTAGATGGTTTAACTGATATGGAAATAAAATTTCTACGCCAGTATCTACCTCTTAATTTCAATAGTGATAACGCTGCATTTCGCCAACGACTGTTAGCTAGTTTGAAAGTCCTACTTGAGCGAATTCGAGATAGCAGGTAAGGCACTTAATCCATATACAGTTTCCTAAATGCACGAGTAATATGAAGTACCTTGCCATATTTTTGCTTATACGTTATGATTCTTATCAAATGACCGATCATAAAGATGCTCATCAGTATTAATTGCCTACTAGTTTATCGATGTTTAAGGAATATAGGTTATTGCGGAAACGGCAACTTGCAGGCTCTGATGAATTTAGAATCTTAAATCAGCGGATAATGACTAATATAGGTAACCACAGATGACAGGACATTATAAACATTGTGCAGTAGGCATATTGGGATCTTGTGTACTGAACGTTAACATGCAAAATCTCATCATACTACTCTAAATTTATTGTAGAAGTCCTAGACTGGCTATTTAATTGCAGCATTGAATGCTTGAATCCTGATTCGTCTTTTCAGCGATCAATTACAGGTTTAGTTTAAACTTTAAAATACTACAAACCTGATACCAATTGATTAGATGATCGAAGATCAATTCTAGTACATTGTAAAACTCGGTACAGGACTTAAAGTATGCAGCCTAATATTTCAAATTATCGCATCTACTTGGAATCCGGATAAAAGGAAAGGCCAGCCCCCAGGTACTAGGCTTATGTTTCCTGTACTTGTTTTTGAACGCAATTTGAACACGTTAATCCAACTATTAATTAATCCTATACGTATTTCATGAAGCTGCTATGGCGGAATTAATTAATTGGGCGCATCGACAGCAACGCCTGCAATTTCTATCTCCTAGGTGAAGTTTTTACTTTGTCTAATGTTTTTATGCAAGTATAGCTGTTTTATTAATTATTATTGTTTTTTATTCTGTTAGGAACCTAGGAATATTATTTCATTGCTTCCAAAGTCAACATGGCGAGGTATCACATGACTCGATTCTGTGTTCTAGTCAAAATTTAATGTTTTAAACTATTTCTGGTATCTAATTCTTTATGAACATGGTCCTTGATAATATTATAGATGGAATCGGCTTCGAAAGAAATTCTTTATAAATACGTTGCCTGGCCTATAGCAATTAAAACAGCAACCGATCACGAAAAGTTCTTAGCCGTTCTTGCAATCAATACCTATTATTTAATTTGCAGTCCAAAAGCATCAGATTGCAATCACGGAGCGTCATTAATGGCACTGATTGTCAATAGGTTGTCACTGTATCGTTCCAACAGTCAGGTTTTATTCTAACTAGTACATTACCACCGAAGAATAGTTGTAACCTATAACTTATCCTTCATTTAAAAAGGTATTTAACAAATGGATTCTCAATGCAATTAAATGAAAATTGCCAGGGCTTTGAGATATTGAAGATTGATGGACTTTCTACTGTTAACGAAGATGCATCTCTACAGGCCATGACGGTCTTGCATAAATTATTAGATCATCAGCTTACTTCGGCTAAACAGTTTCTGACATTTGCTATTAAGGAAACTCCTATCTACGGTATTTAAATTGATGAAATAGGTCTAGATAACTTTACCTTTTTATTAAGGCACGCTAGAATGCAAATGTATTGTATACGAGCATAAACTTCAAGTTACTATTATAAGAGTTTATAATATCAGTTTTATAATATAATTTAATGCCCCATATATCAGATTCCATTCGGGATCAAGATGACCGCTTTTAGTCAATTTTTTGTTTAGTTTTTAAAGTAATAATTTTTCAATTGAATTAAATTCAGGTATAATAACGACTATACGTCGGTGTTTACTGGAATGTCCAAATTTCATTAAGAGTAACAAGAAAAGCGCCGTGGGCAATGTGAAGCTAGCATCTCCTTTGTCTTTCTCTATTCAAGAATGGCGCACTGCTTTAAAAAAAATAATTCGTCTGGCAGACGAACTGATCAATTATATCTTGTTCGATATCTTGTCAGGTTAGTCAAGCTTGTCTTGTAAAATAAGACAGAAAACAATAAATTATTTTATCAAAACATTATGAAGCAATGTTTACATCGCAAAATTTAGCATCATCTTTATCACCGTATTACTGGTACGTAGATAATGACATCTCTGAATTAGAAACTTCGGCCTCCTTTGCTGATATGGGTAAAGCAATTAACCGCATTATTCTATCTGATACCCAACATAAACTTGAGGATAACAGTTCGAGTACAGCCATGTATGACCTAGTAATTTCTTTTTGCTGGTTAAATCTGAAGGTAAATTTTGCTATTGTAGCTTAATATAACAAGTTTATAATGAACAGCATTGGTCATATATTAATACAATTATTAACTGTATCAATAGGAGATTGGTTTGCTAATAGGGGCAATTGTCGATACTGTTCCACTATGCACGATAAAGTTTGAAATGGATAAGTCTGCTAAGGATAGTCAGGGCTTTCTAGAGACTGAAGATGTTGAAAAAATTGGCGACATGTTCATCAAACTTTTAACAAAGTGTCGTCATAAAGTAAGATCAAGAAATAAATTCAGGTTTCTATCATAATGCAGAAATATATTATGATTCTTTTTTGATGTGATCATATTTAGGGTGTTATTGAAGGCTGTAGCATAGGCTTTGTTCAGGTCTGCACAAAGTTATTATGCAGTTCATCGTCAACTTATCAAGATATACCTAAATTGTGGCTAACTCAGGTTCCTTAAACTTTTTGTCTAAATACAGTAAAGATTAACAACTGTTTGTATTTATGTATTGAAATTTGACAAAGCATGTTCTCTATTTCAATAAGGCTTTGTCTGTCATTACCACCGATCAAATGTCTTCATCCTTTACCAAGAAGAGGTGATAATAAATAGATACTAAAACTGAGTTACTAAAATTTAGTATCTCAAGTAGGATATGTTTTCCCTTTGATTCTAAATTGTTCTAAGTAATATCTCTGTTCTGTATATTGTAGCGCTGGCTTGCCGTTATTAATTCAGTCTATTGTATCGAGTGAGCCGCAAAATGCGAAGGTAAATACTACTACGGATCCTGATTATTATACTGCTTAATAACATTGTAAATTAAGATCGATATTCGTGTATGCACGTACATTAAATTGTGGTTAATTATATTCTAATCGAATATTGAACGTCGAAGAAAACTCTGCTAAGATTAAGCATGAAAACATTAGAATTAGTCACTCGTCGGCCTATTGGTGAAGAATATGACGAAACTACTGATTTACCGCAGGTGTGCTACTCTCAGTTTGAAATAGAATATCTGGTTTCAATGTATTGATGATATAAGCTTGCAATATATGTTACTAAGTTTAGATTAGCGACTCAATCATAAGGTAGTAATGACTTCAATATTTTGCGCAGCAAGTTCAATTGGTTAAATCTTAAGTTATGATTATTATTTACCGTGCGTAATATATCCAAGGATGTGAACGTATTATGCTGCAGTATAGACTGTTTGATTGCAATTGCCTTAAGTTATTTACTTTCTATTTTGGGCAAAAACAGACTCATGCATTAAATGTAATGAAGGTCCTTTATCGGGATTCTAGTCTTGGTGGTGATGTTTTGTGTTATGCGGCCGATGGAGTTAAATGTGCTATACAGGGACTGCGGAATCCAATTTGGACTATTCGAAATGCTTCCATGCACTTATACGGAGCATTAGTTTCGCGTCTGTTTGGTCAGAAACGTGTTCGTGATGAACATTCTAATTATAACAATACCCAAGCTGCAGAATTTTTCTCTCGCTATCCTTCCCTGAAGCCGTTTCTGCTAGATGAATTAAAACTAGCGTTCGAGGATGGAGAAGTTCGTAGAACGGCCTGGATTCATGGTGGCGTTTATCCGGCATTAATTATTTTATCCAAACTCCAGCAGGATGAAGAGATAGATAGTACAAAGTAATCTACTTTAGATAAATACTGCTTAAAATTCTTATTTCATATCTAAGGACTTCGAATTTTTTAATGTTATGCCATTTTATTAAATACAGTCCATTGCAAGATTTCATTCCTCTCTTAATGAAACTATTATCAGCAGCTTTGCTACAGCTGCGAGATTTAGCTGCAAGATCTGTTGCTGCTTTCATTTCTAAAAGTTAGTTTAGAGAATATCATTTATTAGGGTTGTGTATGAGTTTTAAGTACATACTAATTGGTTTCTAGGTAAATGTCTCGATACTGCCATTAAACTTTTGCGTGATATAAACGAAATGCCTTCACAAAATCACGTTCATGGCACTTTGATTACAGTTTATCACTTAGCCATTAACATCCTTCAATTGCGCGATTACAGCAGAATTAGGTAGCAAGTTAGATTTATCAATTATTTCAGACTGTTCTTGTTTATCAATAATGACCTGTAATACAGCTGGAAAGAGGCAACATTTGACTTGTGACTTGACTGTTACAAATTTCAACATTATTTATAGTGATTCAAATGTCATGACCCTATATAATGAAGTTCTTAATCATATAAGGGTAAACAATTATCAATTTGATATATTACAATTTTTATTTATCATATAGATCAAAATTGTAGAATTTGACATTTTTATTCACCTGCTTGTAATTTAATGGTAGGTGTTAACATCCAGTCTGCATTGTCCGGTTGTTCAGAAGGCATATCTTGATTTACTATGGCTATTCAGCAAGGAAATTTTTAAAGACAGCAGATTGCTCTATAAGTTGCATGAGAATTGCTGGGAGATGATAACAAATTTCAACACGAATCATTCGCTCAAGGTTTGATAGTTACATAAACGAAAATAGCAAATTTATAAAGTCTACACTTGCCAATATGGATAATAATTCTTATTATAATTTCTTAAGGTTGGATACCCACTTTATTTAAAAAGTGTTGCGAAGCTGTTGGTTAATTTATCTCTAGTCGATTTACGTAAGAATTTAAAGCAAAATTTAAGAAATGTTATACATCAGACTGTACTTGTCTATTCTAAATTGAGTTTTTGAATTTACGTTCATCGTAATTAGGTAAAAATGATACGCTTGAGAATAACTACCTGGAAATCATGATTAAGTCGCCACATGATGATATTCGATATTCAGCTTTAACTGAATTGGCTTCAATTCTCTCAGACGATGTTTACAGTAACAAAAATGATACAATGATTAATATCATGGTATATAGACGTATGCATTATCAATTTAATAGTAATTCTTCAAGTTCTAGTAATCCAAATTTAGATATCTGATAGTCATTTGTGCTGTAAAAAATGGTGTTCTGTTTTAACTCCTGTTGTAAAGCGATACATTACATAAAATTTCTTACTCATGAACGACTATGCATCAACACGGCGGACACTAATATTATAAATTTTATTTATGGCTATAAGTTTAACATAAATCAAAGTATTCTGGATCGTTTACCAAAGGAAAACAATCTAGAATGTTTAACTGCTGCCTTTGATATGATCTATTTAATGGAAATTCGTGGATTTAATCCAGTGAAAGCAATTGGTTAGTGAGACTAGGGTGTAAATCAAGAGAATAACTGAAAAACTGGTAACTGTTTTTCTTCTTATTAGCTTCACAGATGACTTACTTTGCTTCTTTAAATTTCACACCTTTTTAGGGGACATAAAAATGATCTGGAATTTTATGGAAAGGTTAATTACCACATCGAAAAGTCTTTCCATGTGTTCCATGGGGCTGGTGACAGCGTCTATTATTCTGCGTGAGATGATTTTGATTTGCTATAAACGGTAATAGAAGATGGATTATGATTACTTGTAAGGAATTATGCAGTGAAAGTAATATCTTCTATCCCTTGTAGATGTAATAACAGTAAAAGCCCCATCATAAGCCAGTCGGATCTGGTATTATATTCTAATATCAATTATCAGCTCAGTATTAGTTTTAATTTCATTCATCATGTATTATTGGTAATGTACTATGCTAAAAGTATATTTCAATTCAAGGCTAAGTGCTTGCATCAGTGGTCTACCTGGATAACTGAGAAAAGCCAGTACGAAGTTCCTGAATCATATAGAATCGCAGCAGCAAATTCATTGTTTATTGTTGGACCAACTGCTACATCTATTTTATCGGAATTTGTATTGTTGGATGAATTTAGCAATATTTCACAAGAGCAGAGAGCGTTATGTAGTGTTTGTAGCAGGTAAAGCAGATACTATTCGAGCTACGATGTCGAGTATCTACTATGTAATTTTAAAAGCGTACAGGTATAGATGTAAATCAATGTAATCTGATATTACTTTGATGTATTTTATCAAATGTCTTGAAGCTGCATTATGAGTGGGTCTCGTTTATTGCAAGATGAACAATTAAGTGTTCGAAAGCCAGCTACTAGTTTTGTTGGCAAAATGATTGGATCAACTGTAAGTTGACGAAATACTATTTGTATTGGTTAATTAAAACATATCGTATTAAACTTTTTTGTTATTTCAGATAGAACCTCTCCACAGCACGTATGCGTTAGAGGTAAACAAAGGCTGTTAGCCGTAACTGCTGTGCTTGTGTCGGATATTAAGTAGTTAGATGGAAGCACTTTATTAACTGTAAAAAAACCTGATTATCTTATGAATTTGATTTATGCCGTAGATGCTGTTCGAACACTCCGGAAAATTTTTCTGGCAGACTGATCTCATGTTACAAAGTTTAAAACTATTCCTATTGGGTCATAAGCCAATATCATCTGTCCTAGCTAAACTTATTCAAGAAAGGTATTAATAACTACTTTAATTACTGTGTATGCATTTCATGTATAATTTTTAATTAAGCAGTTACATTGTGTTAGTGAGAATAACTTAATATTCGAACCCGAAAATCCTAACCTTTATGCTGAAGAAAGTCAACTGGTTATTTTAGCTACTAAAACCTTAAAGGTCTTGTCCTTTTCAAGTTTAATTCTTAGACATTTAGTGCGATGAAATTTTACCGGCCATAGTATACTAAAAATATTGATAACATTTGTTAGGTTGTTGCTGGTCAATTTAATTTACTAGGTAACGAAAGTGCCAATAAATCGCCAATAGCGAAATTTAAGTTTTGGCTAGAAGGCTTACTTGATGAGTGTCTGAGAAGTTACGAGGCAATTATGTCGTACTTAAGCCATGGTTGTAATGCGTCTAAAGAAGGTATTTATTTCTATAAATTATTATAGGGAGCACTCTGTAATATTGTTTCAATTTTACTATACTCATCATTTGTCTATTTGCCCTTAATAGCAAATTACAACTACTTTGGTGCTACTGGTCGTCAATGTGTATTTTTATCATTTTATCGATTATTGAAAACTTCTATCGCCATATTGGAAATTAGAAAAGATTTACGATATCGAATTCAATGTTCTGAAGTATTTGAAGAACTTTATCACTTACCGGTACGATTAATACTGTTTGTTCTTTCAAGATCTGTTCCGCTAGCATTCTTTATCCACTAAATCTTGAATTGATTATAATTATCGACATGAAACATGTAATAATTTAATAGTAATTGACATTATACTATGGCTTGTTTCAACAAAAATGCTTAATTTGTTATGTAACTTTGAAAGTGAACCTTTGAATAAAAGTAGTTCAATATTCAAGTACTATGCGAGATATGATTTTCTGCTAAGTTACATTATCGTATTTTGTCCATAATCTTTTTTGTGGAACTTTTACTCCTCTTATTATTAGGAAAATATTGAAGTACATCCACTTTTGCAAGCCCATCTCGATGAGCTAATGGATTTAGCTAAGCCTAAACGTGAAGATAGTACTGCAGATTAAAGCAGCTTTGGTGTACCAGAATTAATATGATTACTATTAATAGCGAAAAGGAAACGTCATAACATAAAAATATGACCAACATAATTGGGAATTTACGAGCGTATTTATAAAGTGGCTTAAATTTATAATTGCAAGTGGAATTCAGTATCTTGATATACTTACTAACTTTTTATTTAAAATTTCGGTAAAAATTTGCTAAATTTACAACTTGAATGATTATTATATAATGTATATTATTATCAATAAAACTATGAATTGCTCATTTTAATATAGTGAGACAAAAATTATCAAGTCCACAGATAAATACTGTATTTATCCGGCTTTATTACAACGCAATTCTGTGAAATTTGCAGTGGTTGTACCTGCACTGACAGACTAGTAAAATTATAGATTGTGAAATTGTACTTGTTTTGCTAAATAAATATAAACAAATTTATATATGTGCAATTGTACTTTTCATAGATAGTGACTATTTTATTAGAAATAACTGTTGCTGGTCTACTGCAAATATCAAAATATCTACAATACATTCAACTACGTGATTTGTTGCTGATTTCGATCCCATCGATTGCTATGATCATGCACTCTGTTAACGTAGAAAATGATCAGAACTCAGTTTGTTAGAATGCACCAGCGGCCGCTCCCAGACAGTGTAAAAGGAGCGAGCTCACAACGACTAGTGGTTCCGAAATTCAGTAGTCATAAAGGCTCGTCGAGCGATATAATAAACATTTTAATTGAATACTTTTGGAGTGATTGATTACCTATTCGTACCGCGAGTGCATTAGGATATTAGTTACTAGAGGAGTTAATCCGTTCACAAAAAAAGAAATTTGTGACAAGCATATAAAAGGTAAAGTAGTTCAGTAGAAAAGAAGTTTAAATTTTAGTTCCAGCTAAGCATTAAGAAACTCAAGATACCATATGTAATTTTTTTTGATAGCTTGTTTGTTTAAGGTAGTAATTCTGACCTTATTGTAATTCTTTTAATTAGATTTATAAGTAATTACTAAAGCTTAAATAAGCTGCTGTTTTTCCTTAGTTTGATTGGAATTTTCAAAGTAATTGTTTCTTATAAATGTGTTTTAATTAATAACTCGAAAACAATGAAATTGTTTGGTAATATCATGCCAAATTACTAGTGGCAGCTATTGAAATATTAAATGTCTAGAATGAACACTAGTAATGATTTCATAAATGGATTAGTAAGAAAGAAAGCATGATTGTTACCTTTTGTAATGATGAACTATGACTCATTTCTTAGCTTGAATTATATTATCAATAAACTATTACAGCATAGCTGCTAGCGAATCATAGCTTTAATTGCACTCGCTTTATTAACGGTACTAACATTTACTTTATCATTCGTATTGCAGTATATTTTTGGCTAAGTTACATTTCACCACATAAATCTCTTTTTCAAAGAAGGAAGTGAAAATAAATTTATATCTTCCGTTGAATCATTTTGTTATACCTTAACTTAAGTTAAGATGGTACTCGCTCACGGTCTCTGTTAATTAAATTATAATCTGTCAAGTGTAGTTTTAAAAGAAAAAATATAAGCTATAAGTGCTACAATATTTAGGGGATAGAATTTTAGATATTTTAGGGGCAATATCTTAACATGGATGATTTGGGAGGTATATAAGACTAGTAATATCAGTACTGTACATACATTTTCACACACGTAAGAAATAAAATTTGTCAGTTTTATTCTATGTTATTCCAGGATTCGACTACAAAATCGGATTCTAACTAAATATAAATAATACCATTGTCACAACGTTGTTTGTGGCACAAATAACTAATTTATTCCTAATGTAACCGCTGTAACGTTAAATACCGTTGCTAATAAGTGTCACTAACTCGACTAGGTCAGTATAAGATCTTATTCAGCAGTGAGTATACCCAGACAACTTCATAAGTCATCTTTATTCGAACGATAAAATATACTACTAGGTAATGTAATATGAGAACCCATTCTATGATTAAAGACACGCTCTTATATACCTTTGCCAATTTCCATCGGTGTAAATTAATACATAATTCTATTTACAATATACTTGATTTTGTATAAAATATATTTATGATAATTATTATAGAATAAATATGTGTTCATTAATATTGTGTGCTTACCACTCTTACTCCTATTAACAAATCAACTAGACTTGTTACTTAACAATTCACAGTAACAAGTGTGACAATCTCTATTACACATTCTACTCTTATTAGATGATTTAAATCATCAGAGTCGCTAATAGAAATCCATTAACGATTTAACATATCGTCACTCTACTTTAGATAAAAATATGAATAAATATTTTTTTATGTACGGTAATGATGAACCGTAACAACCATCAACAATAAAACTTTTTCTGAGAAAGAAATAATTAATAGAATATCGGATTATAATTATAATCTATAATAGCAAGAAAGATTACTATTTTCGTTGTGCGACATTCTAAAGTAAAATTGAAAGCACATTTCACGTATCGATACTTTAACTAGGTAAAGTAAGATGCTATTTCTATTATCTATCGAATAATAAAATTGCAAGAATTCAAACTTCCAACAAAAACTATTCGTGATTTGTTTTACTTTTTTTCAAACACATTATTTCATTAATTAAAAATAGAGGACCTCATGCTGTAAATATGCTGAAAAATATTATGACAGTTTATGTATGATATTGCCTTTGTAAAATGTAAATGTTACAGATTTTCTTATACATACACCTGTACTGAGAGAAGTAGATAGAAGAAAAGCACATTACAACAGGCAAATTATTGGCGATAGCTAATTCAAATCTGATTATTGACGACAATCACATACACTTTTTGGCCAAGATTATGCTTATTTGCTGTTTGAATAAATCTATATAATCTGCCAATATCTACTCAATTTTGGTTAAAAGAGAACAAAGAAAAATTACAAGCACATACGTTCAAAGTTATCAAACCTTGCTATTTCCCTCCTTCCACCAAAACCTCCACATAGTTTCAGGTCTTTGCAGCTTCTTAAGCAAGCAGAATTTACATATAAATTTCGCATTACTGGTAAAATACTGTAGTGATATAAACTATTAATGAATTATTAAGAATCACTTCAATATACGGTACTCAATTTCGATTGAAATATACGGTAATTAATATTACCAACAGCGATGACTTTTTCTGCAAGATCGTTCATTTATTATTATGCTGGATAGATGATTAAAAATAATGATTTTCTACAATACCGGTAAAAGAATTTTTGAAAGAATTTATTAAAGTTCTGATATAGCATCTTGCAGCTACTATAACAAGCAGCGCGATTTCTTACTAATTTTATAATGTCAACTGTATCAGCCTAGCAATAACAATTTCAACTTAATCCTACGTAAATTTCGGGGCTGCTCTATGTAAGTGTAATTGCATTACTAATCCCCATTTTAAAAGACCGTTACTTCTATTTAACTGATAGTACCGTTGTAGGCCATCATTTTGATGTTCTCTAGCCTAAAATACTAATTTTCCATGATTAGTTTTACTTCTTCGCAATAATACAGTTAATATAAATGATAAATACACTTGCAATTCCATGAATATGTGATTACGATATTATGATAAATCCTAACCAGAGTCAAGTCATTGGGCTCATGCTATATTTACGCTATATACTATATGCATGCTATCTATGTATAGCATATACATATACTTTGATAATTCAATTTTGCCCTTCCCATACGATTATGGAAAATAAGTTTCCATTTGAAGACACTAGCAGCTATGCAATTAGTGTTAGCTTTATGTAAGTGTTTCTTTAAGCAAGTATAATGAAGGAAGTCGGTGGTAGGCAATGTACGATATAGTAGATTAATGTTGAAGTATATCGACAGTTTATACTCGTCGCTATTTATCATTAGCTTCAATGAATATGTTGTTATTGCTTACTGCTGATTGTTATTGCTTAATAAAAATACGCAACTTAAAATACCGATAATTATATTGCAAAACCACATCATTAATATTACATAACGTGAAGTATTTCTTTATTACCCTTTTCCAATAGCCTATAATCTGCGATTGCAGTTCTAATTTGCAAATTTTCAATTATGCTTTGTAGTCATGAAATAATATTAATTAACTTACGGTTACAGTAGTAGATTACCCTAAAAAAGATAAAAGCTATTTTAATTAGGTGCTAATTGAATATTATTAATTAATCAAGCTAGCAAGTCAGTCATTGAATGTATACTCGTATAATGATAGATTTTAATCGCATCGTTTTCATTATACATATTTAATTTCAGTTACTGATGTTTTCGACATCAATGTGATAACTATGATATTTGAAAATAGGATTGAAAGTTTACGGATTTTAAATGAAATGGTGAATCTACCCTACGGCTTTAACTTGTATGATTTGTGCTATTTGGATTTTGTATGGTGAATTGAGTACGAATCACTTAAATCGTAAATTGAAATAATACAGACCACCTCTTATATGCATGGCATTATATAAGATTAAAAATAAACCTGCAATAAAATAGTCTATCTTAGTATCTTATATAAAATTGACACATTTAATAGAATACTAGTTTATCCTCGTGTAAGTACCGTAAGTGTCATGTGCTATGCAGGTGATTTATGCATTAGCTTTAGTTTAATTAGTCATCAAGCAATTTTGTATTCATCAATCAATTTAATGATGCAAAATTATTATCCAATCAATGTTAATTCAATCTTTATTGGTATGCGTGGAAGCTATTGTCATGTTCCTATTCTATTCATGTTCATGCTAATCTTGAACTTATTGTACGTGTAGGCTCAACATTTGAGTCATTTTGATGCTAGTGTTGTGCTAATGATGCGTTTTTTAATTATTATTATAATGATGATTGACTTAGATGATTGATATATTAGAAAAACGGATAGAAAGAAGTATCGACAAGAATGCCTGCCCACTTTAATTTATTTCTTCTCCATCATCCTGATGAATTGTAAGAGAATAATGGATGAATGATTGAAAACCGCTAACAAATAAAGGCGTATCCGATTTGGCTAATTAGAGCACGTTCCTAACTGAAATAGACTTTGTAATGCTGATCTTGATTTGAAAGCATCGAGCATCCATGATAGCGTGCTCTTTACGTATTTTATCACTCATTTGTACAGCGATCAAAATTGTTAACCCTATCGAGTAGACAAATTGTGACTATTTTTCTCAAATTATATATTTTGATTGTTGTTGAAAAGTAAAATATGGCCAATCAGACTAGCAATTCTACGATATTTGACGAGATTAAATCTATACGCAAAAAGGGCGTGAAATATCATGGCGAAGGCAATTATGAACGCGCGTTATTTTATTTTCAGAAAGCTGTAACTCAAATCAAATCGATAGCGGAGAGTAGTGATAGTCGTCGTCAACTTGAATATTCTATTTATCTCGCTATGGCTCAATCTTACCGGCAAAAATATCAATTGATAGAAGCCAATGAATACAGCGGAAAAGCAGAAAAGTTAGCTGAGAAACTAGAAGAGGTCAAGATTTCTTATTGTTTCGATATCCAAGGCGACTGTAAACGACTTGAAGGTGATTTTATGGGTGCTTTGAGTGATTACAACAAATCACTTCAAATAAAATTAAAATCGTTAGGGAGTGAACATCTTGATGTCTGTAAGTCCTATCAGAAGATCGGCTTGGTCTACCAGAATCAAGGCAAGCATGACGAGGCTTTAAAGGAATACAATAAAGCATTAAGGATTTAACTGAAAATTCTTAAAAATAATCATCCAAGTATTGCTAAAACATATAACAACATTGCAAGTGTCTATAGCGATCAAGGCAAGTATGATGACGCTCTATCAATGTATAACAAGTCACTCAAGATTAAACTGACACAACTTGGCGACAATCATCCAAGTATTGCTGATACATATAACAACATTGCAAGTGTCTATGATAATCAAGGCAAGTATGATGACGCTCTATCAATGTATAACAAGTCACTCAAGATTGATTTGACACAACTTGGCGACAATCATCCAAGTATTGCTACAACATTTCGCAACATTGCAAGTGTCTATAAAGATCAAGGCAAGTATGATGACGCTTTATCAATGCTTTTGTAAGGTGTTTGATAAGTTATTTGCTTCCGATATTCTGCTTTTGATTATAACGACAGCGCTAACAGCACAATACGATACCATACTGAAGTATTGTAGTCGGTAAACAACTTGTACAACAAGTATTTCTCAAAGGTTAGGTGTTTCAACCCTGTTCAATTCTAAGTCGGTCTATTAGTCTAAAAAGATCGAATAGATCGCAAAAATCGTTCAATGACAAACCTATTGTAGTAGTAGTGAGTAGTGCAGCCCCCATATACCTTAAACATTGATTCTAAGGTTGTATGAGTATTCGTGCTAGTAGTTATAATATTGTTACGGTTTGGTATATCGTGATGAGATGGAGCTGGGATTAACTCACAAGGTACTCCGACTGTCGGATAGCTGATATATTCGACCTACTGACTCACAACAACTTGGTAATCTTCGGTTAAGTATAGTAATGCTTTATTTCTCTATTCACTAAACTGCCCATAACCGCGAGCTAAGAATAACGCAATGCACGTAAATCTTAAGTTATTGCCTGGCCATGCAGGACTTATTATCTCTGAAGAGAAATTCAATTTACTAATCGTTCACGCTCAACCACGAGCTCTGAGCAAACAACTTTGCCAAATATTTGAATACTATACTATTTAAATACAAGTATCCGTAATGGTAATTGTGAGAATGATACGTCCCTTTACGCGTAATTTACATTCTAAACTCTACGCGATTACAAAACTAAGACTAGAAAAAGTATAGGTTGCAGTAGTTATTAGAGATGCTGTATTAGGTAACCTTAACACCTTAACATACGCAAGTAACGAAATCCTAGACTAACCAAGATAGATGTTGAATTCTGTATCCTGATGATACTTTGCAACTAAATGTACATATAAGCAGGAGATTTCGTCTTCGAAGTTAAGTTAGTCGTAGCTAATCTGGTTCTTGGTGGAAGATGTAATTTATTCTCAAGATACGGAAGTCTTTGCTTAAAGTTAGACGCTTTATCACACAGTGATGCTATTACAAATTAATATCATATAGAGTTCAATGAAGTTAGTAACTTTATTGCAGTAGAAACGAGATTGCATCTAGGCCGTAGAATCGACAAGAACTATTTACTGCTGAACCTTATCAAAATTACCCAAACTGATCGCTAACGAAGATTT